TGGTATACACAGTAACATGGCAAAACCTCAAGACCATTACACCATGTGAAAAAAGGCAGACTCAAAAGGTACATATAGTTTGGTTCCATGTATATTAAAGTTTTAGAACAGGTGGAACTAATCTATAGTGATCAAAATCAGAACAGTTGTGTTTATCATGGGCTAACTATTTTGTTATCAGACACAATATCAGAGAGAGAAGTAGATGGTTGAGTAATTATTCAGGCCCCGGAGAAGATCATTTAATTTGGATCACTATATACCAAGCCAAATTTAAATAAAATATTTTAGAGCACAAAATAAATCAGAACAGTTGTTACTTGGAGTGGGCAGAGAGGCAGGGATTAATTAGGAAGGAAGAAAAAACAGGACTTTCTGGGGAGATGAAAAGTGTTCTAAATCTTGAGTGGTGGTGAATCAATCGATGGGAATATATACTTATCAAAACTCAGATTATATATTTAAGATATGTTTCACTGAATGTACATTAATCCTCAAGAAAAAAATAAATTTAGAGAAAACAAACTTGCAGGGAAAGGGCAGAACACTAATGAATGAGCCTTCAGTGATGGAATTTCAGACACACAGACTCCTGGTACAAAGAGGGTCTGCTGGGAGCCAAGTGACAGCAAGAGGGAACAGCCATGTGGATGGAATCAGACCCCACAATCTCTACCAACAGACATCCCCCAATCAATAAACATTCAAACTAAGCAAAAACAATGTGTGTACCAAGCAAATGAGGCTTCAAGATGAGTGGCATAGACCATTTTTTGACTGAATTGCAGGTCCCTGGCCTTCCAACCAAGAAATCCTGCCTACCCCCTGCAATGTGAACTTCTAACCACTTGGGCAGCCAGCTAGCCACCCCAAATTAAGCCCCCTTTCCCATCCACTCACAAACACTTATCCCTCTCCTCAACTTCCTAGAGTCACTCACCTGCACCATGCACTGTTCTAAATCATTGAACTAATTGACTCATTGAGTAAATACAGTCCAAGTAACACACGATCATAGTGCAGGAGACATATCAAATGCCCAGAAAATGTCAGATACCACTGCAGCCTCTACTTCTGCCTTTTTCTATGGTTCTCCTTTGGCCCCACTGGACCCTAAGGGTCACTTTAAAGAAACAGAGTGATGGATATGTTTTCTTGACTTTCCCAGAAGTTCTGAATGAACTATAGGAGCTTCCCCAGGAGATAAGAGACCAGAGAGTAGAGTTTTTCTCTCTGAGGGCCTAACACTCAGCCAAGTTCACCATCGCCTACAATTTCAGAGAGCTCTTGAACACTAATATTTTATACTTAAACAAATCAAGGCTTGAGATAGCAAAATGGGTTTCACCAAGTTCCCTGATCTGTCAGAGCTATGTTATGACTTTGCACCTTGCTGTATTTGCCCCTTAGGACTGAACATGGGACATGGCATCCAGCAGGCACTCAGTAAAGGCTTTCATGAAATGTAGGGTGGGGAATTTTGATTCCTTTTCAAGGTAGTAAGAAGTTCAAAACCTGCTGTCATAAATGTGCTTGTCTAGACAAATTAAATTCTGTCAAATCATGAAGATTTTCTTTGATTATTTTTACAACTATATTTCTTTTCCTTCCAGGTGAGAAAACGTTTTGTTTTCCTGGGTTACACAGGGAAACTTAGGCAACTGAGTTGAAATATTTGCTTTAATTTCTACTCCAGGAAAGGCAGTGTAATAGAGCAGAGAAAGCAGGGATGTGGGCGCTAGCTGACACTAGCTCCTGAGCTAGAACACATTTCTTAAAAAACTACGCTACATCTCTGGATGAGAATAGCCTACATTGCACGTTTATAATGAGAACCTAAGACTATGTCTTGCAGAATGTTTGGCACATAGTGGAATTTCAACAAATGCAAGCATTTTTAGTAACAATAGATCCTCCCCTTTCTCTAGGCACATGGGACAATTGGCCCTGAGCCCCATCAATCCCAGCCCATCACCCTGACCCACTCTGAATCTATCCCCTGGGTCAGAGGTTTAGAAACAAAGTAGAGCATGAGGGCTGTCTCAAGCAAAGTGATGAAGTCACTTCCAGGTCCAACTTTAACTCAGACCATGGGGAACTGGAGAAGAATGATGTTCCAAGTATCAAGAGCAAGGAAACAAAAGAGGAGACAGTCACTCTGAGCTCCACACTTCAAACCTTAGACCAAGCAACGATTCCAAAACAGCCTCAAACTGGGGCACAACAAAACATTATGTAACCAGAAGATGCCTTTATTTATTCCATTGGCAAACATTTCCTGCTTGGTTTTGTATAAACACGGTACAGAATTTCCTAGCGGTCATATCTTCTGTGGGGCCAGCTCTCATTACCCTGTTTGGTTCGGAAGGTTGATCTCACTGTTTTAGCAACTCGCTCCTCCTCCTCACACCAGACACTTTGGTGAACTGACTCCATGTAGGGATGGAGGTTTGGGTTAGATGCTTCTGGATTGACAACACAATCAGACGGAGTTGTCCAAAGTAGCACTGGCAACATAAAAGAAACTCTTCTTCCCAAGAACGTGGAGTACAAGGATGCAAAGATGCATGAAGACTTAACCCAGGTGGGGTTGGCCTTGGTAAGACCATGTGTACATGAGAGAATCTGTTAGATTCTAGGAGCTCTTCTAAGAACTTCACAGATATTAAATCATTCCATGCACACACACAATCCTATCAGAAGGACACTATTTTATAAGCTTATCTTAGAGATATCATGAGTCCAGTTCCAGACCACCACAATAAAGCAAATACCACCATAAAGTGAGTCACACAAATCTTTTGGTTTCCCAGTGCATGTCAATGTTATGCTTACACTATACTGTAGTCTATTAAGTGTGCATAAGCATTATGTCTTTAAAAGTGTCCATACTTTCATTAAACAATACTTCATTGCTAAAAAATGCTAATCATCAACTGAGCCTTGAGCAAGTCATAGTAGTAACATCAAAGATTACTGATCACAGATCACCATGACAAGTATAATGATAATGAAAAAGTTTGAAATATTGCAAGAATTACCAGAGTGTGACACAAAGACACAAAGTGAGCAAATGTTGTTGGAAAAATGGTGCCCATAGCCTTGTTCAATACAGAGTTGCCACAAACCTTCAATTCATAAAAACACAGTATTTGTCAAGCACATGAAAGTGAACTAAGATAAAACGAGGTATGCCTGTATTCCCATTTTGCAGATGAGGAAACTGAGGCACAGAGATCAAGATGCAAGGTTAGTAAATGACAGAGGCCATATTCAAATCCAGACAGGCAAGGTGAACAGCTACTCACTCTGACTCCCTCTTCCCATGGGAAAAGTATAATTACCCCATCAAGGTTGAACTTGGCCATATGATTTATTTGACCAACGAGACGTAAATTTATGCAAGTAGAGGCTCTGAATGGGCTTGTTCAGGTTCACTGTCATGTGCTTCTGACCTCCTCCTCCTCCAAGAATCACTTCTCTTTCAGCCTGGTACCTATGAAGTAGAACTGAACCCACCTTTCAGCCTAGAACAGAGCTGTGCAGTTGATCTGCAGACTTTTGAGGAAGAAAAAATTATCTATGGTCTTAAGCCACTGAGATTGGAGGAAGAGCTGTTTGTCACACAGCACTTTGGTAGTGAAAAACTGACTAATACGAACACAGTCTCTGTACTTACTCTCATTTTCAGATGAGGAAATTCAGATACAAAGAAGTTATATGACTTGACCAAGGTCACACAGATAAATTAGTGGAGAAGCTGAAACTGAAACCAAGCTGAAAACTCTGAAACCATGTGGTTAATCTTGGCTTTATAAGGCATATTCAGTGTTAGAGATAAACACTGTGATTTCATTCTCTGTGAACTGCTAAGAGATCTTTGAATTCCACCTAAAATCAAGATTCATTTATTTCATTTCGTAGGTCTTTTTAAGGATTCTTAGATTGTGATGTCTAAGAATGGGCCAACATATGATTACTGAGAATATTATAACCAAAGAAATGACACTAAAATGTCCAATCTTCAGAAATATGCACATTGTTTCCATTTTCAAAAGATATAGTGATTTATTACTGAAAACTACCTGATTCTCTTCTCAATGGAAAACTCGGGGCAATTCCAATTGCAAAAGAGTTGAGGAACACGTTAGAACAGGCACATCTCTAAGCCTGTGTGCTTTAAGAGATTTAAGCCTTTACGAGAAAAATACATAAATGAGGACTGGTAGCTTCCATTTAATTTAAATAATTCATTATGTGGTTTCTTTTTCATTAAAAAAAAACATCGTAATCACAAAAATCTTCCCCTGGTTAGTTCACAGTCCCAATCAAGTTTTCCTAGATGATACTGAAATAGATGCAATTAAGTCAAACAATTTATGTCAAACCTCCCCCAACACCTTTTCTTCTCATTGACTGAATTTAGGCCACGAGAAATTCTTGAACCTTCCTGGGTAATTTCAAGACCCCAACAGATCTTCCATGCACACCCGTCCTCCGAAAATCTCCATCCATCATTCCCTGCTGCTGTGACTGCTTTCAGCCCTTAGAGAAGATAAACTTGTGACCCAGCCTGGGAAGTTGGGAATGACTCACGCTGAGAAGTTGAGCAGTGTAAAGGGCATCTGGTATTTTAATTTATTCCTTCAGACTTCCCACTGCCCTCACCAGAAGCTTATTGCCGCAGTCCTCCGGGCTCTTTCAACTCAAACCCTTTATACACCTCACTAGAGATGCATAACTATAAAAGTTCTAAACCCTTAGTTTAGATCCTTTCCAGACCCCTTTGGAAGGTCTGCCCTAAAGACAGTGACATGCAGTAAATGACCTCAAAGGGAACATGCCACAAAATATTTACTGGAAAGATGATCTAGGATGGAAGAGGCATAACAAAGAAAGGCATTTTAAGATTCTGCCTCTAATTGTCTGAAATGCATTTTACCTCTTTTAGCCTACGAATGCCACGAACAAAATGGAGAAACCAATATTGTTCCCATTACCTCCATGCTGGATGAACAAATTGTTCTTTTGTGGCTCTCCAGAGGGTCTCCCATCACTGGCTTCCAAAAGACATCTGAAAAGGGAAGGATGCATATTACAGCAGCAAAGTAAAATAAAATGGCTGCCAGTTTTATACACTCAATACGAGGTCTGCTGTAAGCCCAGCCCTTCTCAGTGCATGACAGGAAACGCACAGTAATGATGAAGCCCTCATCCCTTCCTGCAAGATGCTCACAAACTTGGTATTGTTTAGCAAATAACTGAGCAACAAGCTCAAGGTGTGTCCCAGTCCCTGAATACAAGGGCAAATCCATCAATTACCCTGACTTCCAGGACTTTGCAGTCTACGAGGGAGAGAAAATTGACACTAAATAATTCTAATACAAAACAGAAAAGTGATACATGCCTCAGAGAGGCCCAAATAATGGACAATGAGGGGTTAGGGAGAAAGGAGCTTACTTAGAAATAAGAGGGGATGGATTGAGGATGCTTTTGAGGTGCGTCTTAAAAGACAGCATTTGGATATATGCAGATGAAGAGAGGTTACTCTAAACAGAAGAGAATTCTACTCGTATGAGCAAAGGATACAAAGTGGGGGAAGAGAGAGAGAATATGGAAATAACAGTTCCCTTTGACTCAATTGTAGGGAACATAGTTGGCACCAACGGGAAATAAGATGGAAAAGTAAGTTGGGAGAAGATTTCAGAGGGCCACAGCTATGGGGCTTAGGAAGTTGGCATTTATTCAAAATCTCTTCTGCTGAATCCTGCGTGTTATGAAGACAGAATGGGCAAAGATCCAGGATACTCTCCTGGTGCGACAAGAACAGACTGCTTTCATCTAGTTGACATACTGGAGTTTCTGGACAAGATTTCATTCGGGGGACCACATACAAAACCGCTACTGTCAGCAAATTCAGTCTGAGCAAGATTTTTAAGAGGGAGGGATGGGTGAGTCAGAAGATCAGATGCCAGAAGATGAACCTGGTGGTAGCAGCGTGTATGATGGATTAGAGGGAGGAGAGTGTAAACTTGGGAGGATGAATTAAGAGGTGATTGCAACATCCCCAGGTAGAGGCACTGGGGGCTGAACTCAAGCCCTGCAGTGTGGGCACTTACAAGTAGTACAAAGAAATTAACCTTGTGGGCCTTGGAAGCAAGCGGAATATAAAGGGGAATCAAGGATTCTGACCCTGAAAGATAGGGTGATGTTGCTAGAAATAGAGGACACCGAACACAAGACAAGTATGGAAACTGAAAAGCCAAGTTAGGGAAATAGTATTAAATTTGAGATTCCAGCAAGCCTTTCAGAGGGCAAATAGCTTGGTGGGGAAAAAAAAAATCTCTCTGGATAAACACACACATAAGAGATGAACACATTAAACAGCTAATCATATACAGGAAGGTATTTTTAATAAAGTACAAAAGTTTATTACATGCCAGACTCCAGTTAACTATTTGCTTCCCAAATATACGAGGTGCACAAGATTCAGTCCTGGACCCTCTGTTCTTCCTTCTCTTATTCTCCTACTTGGAGATCTCATTTTCTATCAACTTTAAAAATCCACATTCCATGTCTTTGTCTCCAGCCCTATAGGTCTAACTGCTGGCTAGAGACAGCCACCCGAAGTGGGCATGCCAACCCAATCAAGGCAAAGATGAATTTATCCCCTTCAACTAGTGCTTCTTCCCAATGTCCCTATTTTCTTTGAACAGGGACTTCAAACTGATGCCTCAGACTTCCCCACACTCATGACGGTCATCCTAAATAATCACTTTTCCAGCACGCTACACCCCTCCTCAAAGCCTTTGGGAGCTTCTCAATGTGGACAGAATAAAAATCAAGGTTCTCAACCCAGGTTTCAAGGCCATCCACAAGTCTATCCCAGACTACCTTTCCAATTGCAATTCCCACTGCCTCTTTGCCCAAACCTGCTCCCAGGAGACATCCTGCAGCTGACTCTCAAGCATGCTCACCTTGATTCCTTCCCATCTTCTCAAGTAGACTGGTAATCCTTCTTTCTGCCAGGCATCATCCTGTTCCATTTTGTCTTCATCTAACCTATCTTCACCCCGCAAGTCTTGGCAAAATTCCCATCTCGTCCTGAACCTCTTCTTGTCCATCCCAGGCCACTGGTGGTCCTTCCTCTGTGCTCACTGAGAAACCAGATGGTGTTTGCATAGCTATTTCCTCATGTGTGAGATGGGGTTACAACAGCACCTGTATCATAAGATTATTTTGAAAATTAAATGTGTTCAATAAGTCATTGTTATGATCGTTATTATCTGTTAGACACTGAACCAGGCATCCAGGGATCTAAGTGGGAATAAGATACAGTCCCTAACCTCAAGGAGTGCAAAATCCAATGGAGAGAAAGTGCACTGCAGAGGGAAATGTAAGTAAAAAGATGATTTTTTACTATCTTGTCTAATTATCTTTTCTAGGATGTTAATCATGACTCTTCTACCTAATTGCAAGCCTTCAACAAAGGAAATTTAATATATTCTTGAACAGCTCTTTGGAAAATGTATCTTATTTCTTGTGTGTGTGTGTACTTTTACTTCTCCCAGGAGATTGTGTGCTAAACAATTATATTTTCACAGGATAAACATTTTTGTTCCAAGAGTCAGAGATTTTTACTCATCTGACTACATGTCAAAAAAATAGCCCAATATTTAGCATCTTCCTCTGATAGGTCTTCATCCTTACACACACACACACACACACACACACACATACACACACGCTCAACCCTAACTGACCAATGCATATGTACTCAGAGACTTGAGAAAAGCACAGAAGCTGGGAGGGGGGTGGAGGTTGGGGAAGAGGAAGAAGAAGAGAAGAAGATGGGGGAGAGGAGGAGGAGGAAAGAAATTCCAGCCTCAGCTCACCTCTAGAATAGAAATTGAGTAATTTAATTATCCTTGCCAAGCCTCAGCCTACTCCTCTGTAAAATGTGTGCACTAGATTGTGGTTCCCAGTCCTGGTTGATTATAAGACTCCCATCTAGGGAGATTTGTTCAAATTCATATTCCCAGATTCCAATCTGGACCTGCAAAATAAGAACTTCTAGGGGAGGAGCCGGAACATCTGTACCTTTAAAAAAGCACTCCCGGTGATGACGATGATCAAAGTTTGGGGATCCCTAATCCAACTCTGATTCTCCTCACGTTAGAAGGCACACTCTTCTCTGAGAAGCTTCCGACAGCCTGGAGTCAGGATCTGAGGCAGGAAGAGCTTCAGAATTCTGAGACAGGCTAGAATAACAGATGGAGTCTCCTCCCTCCCTGTTTTCTGCACAGAAACACTTTCTTTTCGCTTCTCAACTGTGGTTTCTGATCAACATAAACGTTTTAACCATTTGTGATTCTTTCACAAAACAGCTAAGAGCAAAGAAAACACTTTGATTATTTTCATACCTCTTAAGGACTTAAAGCCAGCTTTGAACATGTGACACAAAATCTCCCTCATCAGATAATTTTGTTGCCGTTGCTGAATTCGATTTGAATCCGATGCATATCTCCAATTGTTTCACTTACTCAACTGTGTTATTTTTAAATCGAATTGAGTCTGCCCTGTTTACATAAAGATACATTTAAGGAATTATACTCAGCTTTACTGGCTTTGATCGAGCCTGTTCTATAAAATGCCACTTTGCTGGGGCTTTCACTCAATCAGCTTAAGAGGAAACTGCTTCTCGCTCTCCCAGGAGAGCCCAAAGGCTCTGCTTTGCAAATTTTAGAGTATGAGTTTTTCTAGAGGAGCAAAACCACCTACAAGAGCTTCACAGGCAGAAAAGTTTCCAGATTCTGAGCTAATTCCCTGAAAATGTCTATGCGCATTAAAACCAATTGTGCACTCCCCCTTATTATATGATTAAGTGCCTATATTCAAGCAAACAAGATCACCCTAATCTCTAGGAAACCAACTTTTAGAGGACATGTTGCGCTTCTTTCTCTCACATTGTAGCACAGGTAATCTGATGCCAAGGAGCCCCACTTGCTGGTTAAGGGCTCTCAGTCTGTGGAATCTAGGCAAGATACTCATGCTTTTTGCATCTCAGTTTCCCCGCCTGAAGAATAATACTGAACGCCTACCTTAAGAGGTTACTATGAAGTTTAAATTCGATAGTATATAAAAGGATGAAAATAAACCCTGCCACATGGTAAATACCTCATGAGTATTTAGCATTTGAGGCAATATAAGTAAAAAGAACCCTCAAGCCAATCTGCCCCACCACCTCAGCAGCCGTCAGCTGTCTTCTTGAATGATTTGGTTTAACTTGTATTAAGAAGCCTCTTCAACCAGGTGAACAACTGCCTTGGCCAATAGACACTTCCCTTTTCTTCCCTGAAGGAAGTCTTGAAAGAGTCGCCCATTCTTGGATGGCTGTCACTCTTCACTGAAGGGCACAACTTTGTGCTTTTCCTGTACCTTAAGGGACATCACTAGCCAGGTCCCAAGTGCTCTATTCCAACTTGCCACTGTGAAGTCATCTCTAATAATGTTTGCACACCAAGTCAGAACATCTTTGCTTCAGCCTGTGCTCTACTGCTGCCATTTTGAAGATGCAAAACTCAACCTCAGTTGACCTCAGTATCTGGTATCCAGTAGACACCCAGCTAATACTTGAGTAATTAAAATCTCTTCTCTTAACCCCCCAGCTAAGGCACTGTAAAGTACGATACTCTAAAAATTTATCAGTCTAGCTAAGACTTTTTTTTTAAAGGGCAAAGGGGGTGGGAAGGAAGGACAAGAAGATGAGGGTTGTGGATGTGTTGCCATAAAAAGCCAGTGATTCTTGTATCTGTTGGAAGGGAGGACATGAGTATAAAGTGGTGGACATTTAAATAGCATTCCATCTGTTCTCTGCACAGTTTCAAGCCGTTATTTGATAGAGATGAGAAAGCATAGACTCTTAAGCCAGGAAAATGACAGAAGAACTGTCCAAGGCTCTAGATGAGTTACTTGACAAGGGAGACTAACAAGTCAAATGGTCAAGGACATGTAAATAGTCCAGGGGTTCCTGCACCAGAAAGGCTTGAGCAACAGCAGCTCCCTGGCCATAGGCCCTCACATCCTCATTCCCTACAGAGTAAGAGGACTCAGCGTTCAACATGGGCAACGCAAAGTCAAATCCTGCCGAAAGTCAGCTCACTGGGAAAGCTTCCAGAGGGGAAGAAATTTATCAACAAAGTGACGAAAACTAAAATTTCATTGATTTAAAATTGGGGGGAGGTAGGGACTAGCTCAGTGGTAGAGTGCCTGCTTAGCATACACGAGGTCCTGGGTTCAATGCCCAATAACTCCCTTAAAAAATTCATTAAAAAAATATAATAAAATTGAGGGTGTTGAGAATAGGATCATTTTTACTAAAACATGATTTGGAAAGAGGATCTTGTTTACCCTCAGAGGCATACATAATTAGGCTAAGATTGTAAGTTACTTTTCCTCAAGTATTGAAAAATAGGGGTGGGAAGGGACAAACTGGGATTTCAAAATGTGTAGATACTGACAGGCATGTGCAAATAGATAAATGAGATTATACTGTATAGCACAGGGAAATATATACAAGATCTTGTGGTAGCTCACAGCAAAAAATAAATAATGTGACAATGAATATATGTATGTTCATGTATAACTGAAAAATTGTGCTCTACACTAGAATTTGACACAACATTTTAAAATGACTAACTCAATAAAAAGTGTTTAAAAAATGTTTTAAAAAATGTTTGAAGTACATGGCAAAGAGTTGTCCCTTTATAAAAATGTTTATTACATCCTGTTTATTGGGACACTAAAAACTCATCCTGCTCCCAAACTTGACATCATGGTCAGAATTCTGATATTCAGAAGAAATGTAATGAACCTTCAATATTTAGTTCACATCTGGGGTTGGGGGAATGAACAGTTTTACACAGGAAAAATGATACGAATTATTCAGAAGAAAATTCTCCATAATAGCTTAATCTTCTGTTTCCACATATTTGTAACTGATACGCTTCAGGAAGTAAAGAAGTTACGCCCATCCTAGTTTTAACTGAAAAGGCCCACTGCATTTTGGGAATCTCTTCCTATCAGCATTTCTCTGGGGAACACAGAAGCTTCTGGGTAACACCAGTCTTTGGGAGCTCAACCACACTGTTAACTCTCTCCCTCAAGAAAGTGGTTTAATTAGTGTAAAAATCTCCAACATAATGCATTCCATTAACCTAAGGACATTAAAAAAAAGGAATAGCTTTTAAATTTCAAAATATTTTAATAAGAAAGTGGTTTTTGTTTGTTTGTTTGTTTAGTTAATAATATAGGTAGGTGGTATGGGCAGCAAGGAATATAATATAGGAAGGAAATTTTATTTATGCAGAATTCATTTATTGAAAATATACTTACTTTATAGTCTGTGTTCTAGACAGAAACACAGCTTGATAGGCCTAATCCTTTTCTCTATTCTCTTGCTATGAGTTTTTTGCAGCCATCTCTGTCACCAGGGCTGTGCCACCACAGGATCACGTATATGTTCTTGGCCTGGCTAAATGAGGCAAAGTTGGCATGTGAATCAAGCAGGTAACAGTGGAAACAGCAGAAGCAGTTCAAAATTTTGCATGTTAAAAAATGAGTCAGGGGTTAGGGAATACCTCGGAGGGGGAATGCATGCCTAGCATGCACAAGGTCCTGGGTTCAATCCCCAGTACCTCCATTACTTTAATTAATGAAATAAATAAACCTAATTACCTCCACCCCTCCCCCAAAAAATGAGTCACACACAGACATAGAAAACAAACTTGTGGTTACCAAAGGGGAAAGTGGCAGGGAGGAATAAATTAGGAGTTTGAGATTAGCAGATACAAACAACTGCCTATAACATAGATAAACAACAAGGTCCTACTGTATAGTACAGGGAACTATATTCAATAACTTGAAATATCCTATAATGAAAAAGAATCTGAAAAAGAATATATATATATATACATGTATAATCACTCTGCTTTACACCAGACACTAACACAACATTGTAAATCAACTATACTTCAATTTAAAAAGTAAGTCACAGATATCTAAAGAATATATTACTTAATGAAGATCAGAAATAAACTGGTTATAGGTTTGGAAAAGAGCAGGGAGAGAAATGGTTAAAGGAACCGAGATCAGCCCCTCAGGGTGGCTGAGTAATATATGGAGTGTTATTAGATCAAAGTTCTCTATCTCCAAGGAGGAAGCAACCCAAAATTGTCTTAAAGTCCGTCCAGAAAGATGTCAGCTTAGTTTTTCGGATGAATTCTTGGTATATAAGTTGATACGTATCATATTAGGTTACAAAGAGAAGTCTCGTAATCTCCCTCCCAGGAGATGCGAGGTTGTGAGACAGGAAAGCCCCAGTAACACGCATGACCATCTTGAGCGGCTGATTCACCCAGAGCCAGAGGAACACATCAGAAGACTCCCCAGGGTTCTTTCAGGCTCAGGATTTTCAAACAATTGAACAAACACGAGGCTGTAGAAGCGACTGCTTTGCCCCATGTTCAGCAACTTTGGCAAATTCCAAATACTTTTTCTTCGTACAAAGGAGGTTAACAGCAAGAACAGATTTTACAAGGACACTTTACAACCAATCAGCACCTCACCAAATGGAAAAAGAACCTGCTTCTTAATGTGGTAAATGGCTGGACGTAATTTACAATAGAGCCAGAGCTTGGCGCCATGGGGGAAAAAAATGGTGGAAAAAAGCACTGTGTATAGAGCAGCCATGTAGATATTCAGCATTTTGGAAAGGGAGTTAGTGGCCCTTGTGTTCACAGGGAAGTTCAACTGGATTCTTTAACCAAAGTCAATCTGCCACATTGAGGAAATGAAGGGTCAGCCTTAATGCTTTTGGTCCCAAGGGAAAGTTGTCCAGTTGCCAAAACATGAACGAGAAAGAGAAGGAAAATTATCTCCTTTTTCTCCTTTTCTGTCACTGCTATGAACAGCGATGAGAAGAAGTAGACCCTCTGGGAAGGCCTGCAGAGAGAACGCGTCTGCTTATTTCTCTGCCTCTCAGTTGAGACTTGCTCCTGCCGCACGAGACGGGCACACAAGCTCTTCTGAATGAAAGAAATTTAGAAATTATCCAACTTAAATACATCCACACACACACATCTCAAAATACTCCACCAGCTAAAGAAGACCAATAGCCCAAGGAATCATTCTTTCTCTCCCAAGAAAGTCGCGATCCAGGTAAGA